AGAAAAAATTAATATCTGAAATCAGCATCCTAATCTGACACCTTAAGGAACTAGAAAAAGAAGAAAAATACTAGGTCCAAAATTAGTAGAAGGAAGGAAAGAATAAAATATTAGAGAAGAAATAAATAAAATAGATATTAGGGAGACAATAGAAAAGACCAGTGAAATAAAGAGGTTTCCTTTTTTAACAATAAACAAAATTTTCAAACCTTTACCTAGGGAAAAAAAAAAGATGATTCAAATTAATAATTATAAATGAAAAAGGAAACTACAACTAGTAAAGGTAGAACTGGTAAAGAAACTATGGAACATTATATTGCAACAAATTAAATAACTTAGAATAAATAAACCCCTAGAAGCACACAACCAAAAAAGGCTAGATCATGAAGTAATTGAAAAGCTGAACAGAGTTTCTGTAACAAGCAATTGAATCAGTAATCAAAATCTCCCAACAAATAGAAGTCCAGAACCAGACAGTTTCACTGGTAAATTTTACCCAGTATTAAAGGAAAATTAATAGTAATGCTTCTCAAACTTTTCCAAAAAAAAAAAAGAAGAGGAATAGTTCTAAACTCTTTTTATGAGGCCACTATTAGTCTGATACTAAAGCCAGACAAGGCCATTACAGGAGAAGAAAAGCATAGGTAGGCACCTCTGATAAATAAAAATGCAGAGTCCTCTAAAACATAACCAGCAAACTGAATTCAAAATCATATTATAAGTATGACATACCATGATTATATGGAATTGATTTCTGCAATGCAAGGATGGTTCGACATCTACAAATGAATAAGTGAGATACAGCACAACAGAATAAAGGATAAAAGTGACATGATCATTTCAATAGATGAAGAAAAGGCATTTAGCAAAATTCAGCATCCTTTCTTGATAAAAACTCTTAACAAATTAGGTTTAGAATAAAGGTACCTCAATACAATAAAGGCCATATGTGAAAAGTCTGCAACTAACATCCTCAATGGTGAAAATTAATAGTTTTTCTATAATATCAGGACCAAGGCAAGGATGTCTACTTTTGCCACTTCTATTCAACATAATACTGAAAGTTCTAGTCACAGCAATTAGAAAAAAAAAATGAAAAAGAAATGAAAGGCATCCAAATTGGAAAGGTAAAGTATAATTGTCTCTGTTTTCAGATGACATGATCTTTTATATAGAAAACCCTGAAGACATCACAGAAATTGTTAGAATAAACAAATTCAGAGAAGTTTCAGGAAAAAGTTAACCTACAAGAAAAAGTTGCATTTCTATACATTAATAATGAACTCCCTGTAAAAGAGAGTAAGAAAGCAATCCCATTTACAGTAGCATCAAAAACAATAAAATACTTAGGAATAAATTAACCAAGGTCGTGAAAGATCTTTAGACTGAAAGTTATAAGAATTAATGAAAGAAATGGAAGAAGACACAAATAAATGCAAAGATGGTCCACATTCTTATATTGGAAGAATTAATATTGTAAAAATGCTCATACTGTTCAAAAGTGATCTAGACATTCAATGCAATCCCTATCAAAATTCCAATAGCATTATTCACAGAAATAGAAAAACCTACCCTGAATTTCCTATGGAACCAAAAATAACCCCAATAGCCAGGGCAATCTTGAGAAAGAACAAAGCTGAAGGCATCATACATCTTGATTTTAACTATATTACAAAACTATTATAATCAAAGAAGTATGATACTGGCATTAAAAACAGACACAAACAGAACAGAGAATCCAGAAGTAAATCCACACATATACAGTCAACTAATTTTTGACAAGGGTTCCAAGAACACATAATGGGGAAAGGATCGTCTCTTCAATAAATGATGCTGGGAAAATTCAATATCCATATGCAAATAAATGAAACTAGACCCCATCTTACACCACTTGCAAAAATAAACTCATAATGGATTAAAGACTTCCTTGTAGGACCTAAAACCATAACACTCCTAGGGGAATACAAGGAAAAATCTCCTTGACACTGGTCTCAGCAATGATTTCTTGGATAAGACACCAAACGCTCAGGCAACAAAAGGAAAAATAAATGATTGGGACATTATCAAACTAAATAGGTTTTGCACAGAAAAAGGGAACAATCAATAAATTGAAAAGGTAACCTACAGAATGTAGTTCTACATAATGCAGAAAGCAGTCTGACAGTTCCTCAAAATATTAAAAATTGAGCTACCATAGATCCAGGAATCCCATTTTTTAATATATATTTGAAGGAAATGAAAACAGTGTATTAGAGAGATATCTGCACTCTCATGTTCACTGAAGTACTATTAATAGCCAGGATATGGAAACAACCTAAATGTTCTTCAAGAAATGAATGTATATAGAAAATGTTATATATGTGTGGGTATGTGTATATATAATTAGATATATATATATAAAATTCAGATGTTTTATATGTGTATTATATATGTTTTCTATATATAACTTCATATATATAAAATTCAGCCATAAAGAAAGAAAATTCTGCCATTTACAACAACATGGATGAAACTGGAGAGCATTATGCTATGTGAAATAAGCCAGAGAAAGAAAAATCAATACCATATAGTACATCTTATATAGGAAACCTTAAAAAAAAAAAGAGAGCAGATTTCATGAAAGCAGAGAATAGAATAGTGGTTTCCAGGGGCTGGAGGTGGGAAGGGTAATGGGGAGATGTAGGTCAAAGGGTACAAATGTTTAGTTATAAGGAGAATAAATTCTGAGGCTCTAATGCACAGCATGATGACTGTATTTAATCATATAATATTATATCCTTGAAAATTGCTGAGAATAGATCTTAAGCATTCTCACCACACACACAAAAAGAGTTAACTATGTGAGGTGATAGATGCACTAATTATCTTGTTCTTGGTAATCACTCCATAATGTATACATATATTAAATCATCACATTATACACTGTAAATATAAACAATTATATTTGCCAATTAGTTCTCAATAAAACTGGAAAAAAAAAACCAATAGGGAGTATTCTGAGAACTACACGGAATTGGTGTTGTCTGACTGGGTAATTTGACTGGGGGAATAAAAGGGCTGTGCTTGCCATGTGGGTCCTCTGGGGGTCTTTGAATATGATAAATGTATGTAAGCTTTCCTGATTTGCATCCTATAGAAGAAAGAGCTATAGATGATTCAGGAGCAAATGCATTTAAGTCCTGCTATGGTTCTCCTCTTCCTGAAATAGCTCCAATTTCTGTAGCAGAGGAATTCCAAGTCTTACCTGGAGATTGTGTATCACCCTCCTGGAAGCTGATAGGCTCCTGATGGCTCCTTGTCTTCCATGAGATGTAAAATGACAGCAAGAGCAGAATTCTAGACTGGAACCAAAACAGAAGGACATTTCATTATAAATAAATAAATAAAATTTTAATGTGGTTATAATGTGTCATGTTCTTTGCTTTTGGGATACTACATCAAATAAGAATGAAAGCCACCATTAAAGCAGCTGAAAGATTAGTAGAGGATACAAATACATGAGAAAAACAACCAGACCTCAGGGTGAGAAGAAGAAAACATAAATAGTACAGGAGCAGAGAGGAGGGCTACAGCAGAACTCTGGGAGGGTTCTCCTTAATGGGTTCAAGTTCTGCCTGTTACTAATTTTTAGCTCTATGACTTTAGGCAAGAAATGTAATTTCTGAGGGCTTCATTGCCCCAATCAGCAAAATGAGAACACTGGATGATATCCAAGTAAGCTCTCAGTTTTAAAATTAAGTGATTAAAAATGCAATCATTTTATGATACCAATGACTTAATAATACTTGATTTATAAAATTCAGCACATACAAATGTAAGTTAAGCATCAATTTCTTCTCCCCAAACTCTGCCCCCTCTGCAGGTCAACTTCCTTTAGTACATTTGAGGAAAATGCTCTCAAAAGATGTTTTATAAATTGAGGGTTTGGGTTTTAAAAGTCTAAGTTACAGTGTCCTAGTCTAGTGCAGAGAAATGTAACATAATGCTTTTAAGCATAAGCTGTGCAGAACAATTCAACTTGCAACCATGGGAAAATGACTTAACCATTTTGTGCCTCAATCTTTATCTGTAAAATGGTTATAAGAATTGGACGCACTTTTTGGTATTGGTAAGAGCAATAAGTTACTTGATGCATGTAAAGTGTTTAGAATATGCAATGGGGTGTGTGGGGAGGACTTGATAATAGGGTGAATGTTGTAACCACAATGTTGCTCATGTGAAACCTTCATAAGATTGTTTATCAGTACCTTAATTTAAAAATAAAATAAAATGGACTACTGAAGAACCATTTGTTTAAAAAAAAGAGTTCTACTGGAAACAAATATACCTATAGCTGCCTGTACAGATATATATCTAAAGAGAGAGAGATATGCAGATAGATTTGTAGATATCTAGAGAGAAGAAAAGAGAGAGAGGCAGTAGGTTTCTCTTCTAAAATGACTACTGTAAGATAAATTCTAACCGAAACAAGCAGGCAACAACAGGCAACAAAGGGCCAGGCAGTTTATCTGAGTGCAATCCGGGCAAGGTTCACCAGTCTGAAACACAGGCTGGAGAAGTCGCCCCTAACCAGATAGGCGGGGAGCTTTTATAAGCACAGGGAGGGGAGGGGGGAAGTGGGCCGTGCCACGGGTATGTGGGGAATTTTTTATAGGCTCAGGGTCGGGTGATGGACAGCCAGAGGTCTCCTCCTTCCGGATGGAAGGGGTCTGCATCACTGGAATCCAGGAAGAGCTGTCCGGTCCTTCCTTATATGGCACTGTCCTCTCTTTCCTCCCTCCAGTGCCTCCAGCCTTACAACTACAAATGCCCCCTGCCCATTGCTCTTCATGCCCTCAGGGAACCCCCTCCCTGAGTGTGGACTGGACCTAGTCTTCTTTCTAAAAAATTGTGTATAGAGAAATTGATGAGGGTCAGGGGATTATGCGTCGCGCGGAGGACGCCGGTTAGTCTCCATCCGGGTTCCGGCTGCGTTGGGCGTGCATGCGGCTGCCCAGACCATGGCGTCCGGGCCTCACCCAACCGCTCCCCTTGCTGCTACCGCCTCGTCGGCTGCCCCGAGCGCGGGCGGATCCAGCTCCCGGATGACGACCACGACGAGGACTGCAACGGGAGGGATCCTGATCGGCGACCGCCTCTACTCGGAAGTTTCGCTCACCATCGACCACTCGCTGATTCCGGAGGAGCGGCTGTTGCCCACCCCGTCCGTGCAGGATGGGCTCGACTTGCCCAGCGAGACGGACTTGCGCATCCTGGGCTGCGAGCTCATCCAGGCCGCCGGCATTCTCCTCCGGCTGCCGCAGGTGGTGATGGCAACGGGGCAGGTGTTGTTTCACCGTTTTTTCTACTCCAAGTCTTTCGTCAAACACAGATTCGAGATTGTTGCCATGGCTTGTATTAAACTTGCATCAAAAATTGAAGAAGCACCAAGCAGAATAAGAGATGTGATTAATGTATTTCACCACCTTCGCCAGTTAAGAGGAAAAAGGACTCCAAGGCCCCTGATTCTTTATCAGAACTACATTAACACCAACAATCTAATTTTCAAGGCAGAGAGAAGGGTGCTAAAGGAGTTGGGATTTTGTGTTCATGTCAGGCATCCCCATAAGATCATATATATGTATTTACAAGTCTTAGAATGTGAACGTAATCAAACCCTGGTTCAAACTGCCTGGAATTATATGAATGACAGTCTTCGAACCAGTGTGTTTGTTCGATTTCAACCAGAGACTATAGCATGTGCTTGCATCTATCTTGCAGCTAGAGCACTTCAGATTGCATTGCCAACTCGTCCCCACTGGTTTCTTCTTTTTGGTACTACAGAAGAGGAGATCCAGGAAATCTGCATGGAAACACTTAGGCTTTATACCAGAAAAAAGCCAAACTATGAATTGTTGGAAAAAGAAATAGAGAAAAGAAAAGTAGCCTTACGAGAAGCCAAATTAAAAGCAAAGGGGTTGAATCCTGATGGAACTCCAGCCCTTTCTACTCTTGGTGGATTTTCTCCAGCTTCTAAACCATCATCACTAAGAGAAGTAAAAGCTGAGGAGAAGTCACCAATGTCTGTTAACATGAAGACAGTCAAAAAAGAACCTGAGGATAGAGAACAGGCTTCCAAAAGCCCTATAATGGTGCAAGAAAAGACAGCAAGAGAAGTAGAAACAGCAGAAGTGCAAGTTGATCAAGGTCAAGAACACGATCATGTTCTAGATCACATACTCTGAGAAGATATTATAATAATAGGCAGAGTCGATCTGGAACATACAGCTCGAGATCAAGAAGCAGGTCCCGCAGTCACAGTGAAAGCCCAAGAAGACATCATAATCATGGTTCTCCTCACCTTAAGGCCAAACATACCACAGATGATTTAAAAAGCTCAAATAGACATGGTCATAAAAGGAAAAAATCTCGTTCTCGATCTCAGAGCAAGTCTCGAGATCACTCAGATGTTGCCAAGAAATACAGGCATGAAAAGGGACATCATAGGGACACACGTGAAAGATCTCGCTCCTTTGAGAGGTCCCATAAGGCAAGCACCACGGCGGCAGTCGCTCAGGACATGGCAGGCACAGGCGCTGACGTTCTTCCTTTAAGCGTGTATCAGCTCTTGTTCTGTCTGACTGCAGTGTGCTGCATGGACTCATAATCAAAACATTAAAAGCAAACTGAATAGGATTTGATTTCTTAAAACCCTCCAGGTCTCTGGAACACTGGGGACATTTCTTTTTGGAAAGAACTATGTGCACTTTTTTTTTTTTTTTTTTTGCACATTAAAATGCCCTAGCAGTATCTAATTGAAAACCATGGTCAGGTTCAATTGTGCTTATTATAGTTGTGTATTGTTTATTGCTATAAGGACTAGAGTGTGAATTCTGTGAAAATGTATCTTTTTTTAATTATTTTATTTTATTTTATTTATTTTGTTATCATTAATCTGCAATTGCATGAAGAACATTATGTTTACTAGGGTCCCCCCTTCACCAAGTCCAACCCACAAACCCCATTACAGTACTGTCCATCAGCGTAGTAAGATGTTGTAGAATTACTACTTGTCTTCTCTGTGTTGCACAGCCCTCCCCACGAAATTGTATCTTATTTTTATACAGGTCAAATTGCAGACACTGTTCTATTTAAGTGGCTATTTGTTTAAATGATGGTGAATACTGTCTTAACACTGGTTTGTCTGCATGTATAAAGATTTTTACAAGAAAATAAAATATAAATCTTGTTTTATAAAAAAAAAGAATTGGTGAGATGCCACTTTCCAGATTACTTTATTTTCTTAAAAAAATCTGTGACTTCCTCTCTTTTTTTGTACTCTCTCTGTGGCTCTTCCCAAGTGTTCAGTCTGACTGAAGCTGGCTGCATGCTGTCAGCCATCCTATGGAAACGAAGGCAAGAAATGGAGGGAGGCCTCCAGACAAAAACCATCAAAGAATTGAGACCCCCCAGAGAAACAATCAATGAGAAACGGAACCTCACCAGCGACCGTGTGTGTGAGCTTGGAAGCAGTTCCCTCCCTAGTCAAGCCCACAGATGAGACTTTTGCTCAGCTCACACCTTGATTGCAAATATACAAAAGACCTTGAGCTAAGCTGTGCCCAGATTCCTGACCCACAAGAACTGTGAAATAGTAAGTGCTTGTTCTAAGATACTAAATTTGGGGGTAATTTGTTACATAACAATTGATAATTAATATAATAACCTGTAAATTATATAGCCTAATATGTATATATTTAAATAAAATACTACAGGTCAGTTTGGAAACCTGGGCTTCTGTCATAATATTGCTCCTGTGGGAAAATATGCATATATGCTCTGAATTCTACAAAATTTTGCTTACAAATTATTGAAATATTGTAATACAATGCATTTGTAAGTTGAGAACTTTCTATAAAGGATGCTATTTTAAAAAATTTAATTGATATTTTCATTAATCTTCATAGGATCTAAGTTGAAGGATTATGTGTGATTTGATGTCCTTTTTATATTTTTTATTCTGCATTTTCCAAATTTTTCTCAATAAATATGCCCTTTTTTTTTTCCTGGTAAATTGATACCAGTTATTCAATGACCAACCCAAATACTTCAGGCTTCACATGAGGATCTCCCTCTTCTTGGGCAGGATTTACACACGGTTTTCTCCATCCTCTTTTTGGTAGCCCCACTCTCCAGTACTGATCACACTTTATCCTTTTTTTGAACCTGTCTTCCCTACTGGACTGTGTTTATTCATTATCTTCATGTGCTCTGGGTCTAGCAGAGTGTTCTCACACAGAGCAGGTACCCAAAAATAGCTGATGAAAAAAATGAATAAATTAACAAACTTGTGAAAGAAGCTTACGCCCTGGGAGACACTAATATTTTTAATTGGTTATTAAATGGCTACTGTTGTGATGGAGACTGGGTTAAAAGAAACAGCATGATTTCTTAAAAAGAAAATCTGATTAAGTCATCCTTGCTTAAACCATTTCAATCATTCCCACGGCCCACAGGAAAGGGACGGAAATCTTTATGGCCTGGGCTCGGCCTGTATCCATCCTGGCTCACCTGGTCCAAATTCTCCCCACTCTTTCTGCCTGCCCTCTGCCCACACTGGCCATCTTCCACTTATTTGCTTTGTTCCCTCCCATCATTTTGCATATGTTATTCTTTATTCCAGAAATGGCATTTTCCCCATATTCTGTAATTTTATTTTGCAATACTCACCACAATTGTAATTTTGCCCTTATTTGTGTTTTCATTTGTTAGTCTGTCTGTCATCAGACAGTGACTTCGTGAGGAAGACAGTTCCCTGTTTTGATCACCAGCACTCATGAGTGAAGGGATGTCTTTCAATCACAGGAGCATGCTTCTTAAATATACTCTGAAAGCCTCAGTTCTCCATTAGAGGAGTTAATGTGTAAGTAAGCTAGCAGGAAGGGTATTTAAGGACTAGAGGGTTTGGTCTGAAGGTAAACTTCAATAAGCCCATTTAAGGTCACCAGGAAGGAATAAAGCCAATAAAGCCCTAACAGCTTACCTATCACGGCTCGTCATCACCCCAAGGCTCTTGCTTCTCTAATTTAGAGGAACACAAATGAAGACGTATTGTAGATGAACCTACCCTTGAGGCCTTTGTAAAATAATTATGCATTATATTGGCTCAAATATACTGAGTACTGAGCACAGGTCTAAGTGGACTCCACACATCATCTCAGTTCTCACCACAACCTTTTGAGTCTCTAACTGTTACCTGAATTTTCCAGATGAGATGGAGGCCCACAGAGGAATTCCTGGCCAGAAATTCAGACTCAACCAGTCCAGTTTAATGTCCATACTCTTCAGAACTGCAAATCACTGGCTGTCTTCTGTTGGAAGTAAAGGAGTTTGAAGGCTCAGCAAAAGTTCCTCCAAGAACTAGAGCCATGCCATATCTAAGATTAAGAACGATTTCTCCTCTGAACCCCTGCTCCCTACTGAACTCACTCCTCTCTCCGGTATCCACATACTGCCAGATGTGTGATTTATTTTCACTGTCATGTTAAAGAACATTTATCCTGAATTCTGGGGCCAAATTATGTATATTAGAATTCCAGCTCTACCACTTACAAGCTAAGTGAACTTCGGAAAGTTTCATGAACAATCTGAGCCTCGGTTATCTGTATGGAAAATGGGATCAATATCCATCTAGTGTTTGGAGGAATATTCAATTAAATAATGCATATGAAGGCTTTAGTACAGCACCTGTCCTAAAATAGGCACTGAATTAGCTGCAGCTATTACTATTAGACAGAGATTTTAAAAGCATTCAATGGCATTCTTTTCATCCTAGAAACCCACTTCTCAGGTTTATAACACAACATTTTGTCAATATCACATTGCTCGGTGCATTTCTCTTTCACGAACATAAGAACCGTCATGAAGCAATAAATGTGTGCCTATCAATAGAAATAACTTTTATTTTAAGTTGTTGGGTTCACAAGCCCTTTTTTCCACTAGATCACTGAGAACTGAAGGAGGTGAGAATATGCTACTCCAAAATATGCCATTCTGGCATAAGGACTATTTTTAGATGAAAGCAAATGAGAAAAAGCAGACAAAGGACAAACTCTCTACCAGGAAGGACAGGATGATTGTTAATCACTAGAGAGAATTCTAGACTCTTATCAGCCCAGAGGAAGCACCAGAGACTATATAACAATCCTTCCTAAATAACCCTCATCTTCCATAGTTCCCCATTTCCCTTTCCACAGTTTGTCACTGCCAAAAGCCTAAAAACCCTTTTTCCTTTGCCTTGTCATGTCTACACTAATGTATTGCTCTTTTTAAGATGCTACAGAAGCCCCCAGTTCTAACCACCCCTTTGAGTTGCTCATCCCTGGGCTTCTCCCATATGTACGTATGTCCACTGCAGGTAGTAATAAACTTCTGTTTGTTTTCTCTTGCTTGTCTGTCTTTTGTCAATCTAATCTGTGGGGCACCAGTCAAAGAACCTAGAAGGACAGAGGAAAAAGTTTTTCCTCCCCTACAGAACAAATCACAATCCTGGTCTTGCTACAATTTTTATTTTTATTTTTGGAAGTACTTTTGTGGTTTAAAAGTAGAGAGATTGTCCGGATCATCAGTGTTGAGTGCTGCAATCCAGATGCCTGAGTTCCTATTTCTCTACCTCTGCCAGCTGGAGAGGATGCTTGGGCCAGTTCCTCTCCGTCCATCATTGCCACTTTCTGATGCATGAACCCTTCCTGGAGCTAGGAAGCACCGTCAAAGGAAGGTTGTGGAACTCATTACTGTGTGTAAAGTACCTTGCAATCCCTGACTGAATGAAACTATAGAAATGCAAAGAATTCTGTGCGATTTTATCTGCAGAGTGAGTTGAGGTCAGAGCATCAGGCAGGATTTAAGCCGTATCTCTTGCTGCCTTTACTATTGTGGATTAAAGTCAGTCCATTTTAATGTTCCTAAAATGTAATTTTTTCTGAGGCTAGAGAGACATGCGATGCTGAGGAGGATTTAATTCATTGTGTTATCACGGGGATGGTGATGTGTTGGCTCAATTTGGGATGTTAGGAGAAAGCCATAGGATGCTAAACTCTCCCATTGTTGCAATTCTCACAATACAAAATAATTAAGGGGAAGTGGAGGGCACCTGAGCAAAATGTTAGGATGCTGGACGGTTTGAGAGTGAGGTCAGAGGGTTGAACTTAGCAGAATGGCTCCCTGCATTGGGGTGTTTCAGGCCAGAATAGATGAGGAAGAAAAGGGAGACACAATCAGCCACAGGACTGCAGAGTGTGCTTAACTGCTGGAGGGCAATTCTGAACAAACCAGAAAGTATTAAGACAAAAAAAAAAATACACCCTGGGATTAATTGTCATTCTACTGGCCTGTGAGGTAACTGATACCAAATATAATTGTATTACTTTGTAATTATTTCTTTTGGAGTATTTCACCTGAGCTAGGCTTTGGAGATGGGTTTTTTTCGCCCTTTCTCTTGCTTTGCACTACAAATGGTTTTGCATTACGGATATTTTTCTGCTTTACTGTATTATCTTGTGCAAACTATTCTGGTTTGTTTTTCCCCTCTTCCTTGCCCA